AGTGATTTTTGGCATATTATTTATGCTTGCTCACATGTTTGACATGATCTTTTATTGCTTATATTTCATATGGCTTTTTGATAGGGGGAGCTATTCCCTATATTTGCTTTGTACTCACCCATGCTTATTGATAGGGGGAGCTTTCGCTCTCTTCATACATTTGTCACCTTTTTTGATGTTGTCAAAGGGGGAGAAATATTATGAGTATACATTTTTCTTGTTTATATGCATATGAATTACAATTTATATATTCATTTCCTTTCATGCATATATCCTTTTTGTAAATTATTTGTCATCATCAAAAATAGGGAGATTGTTGGCCTTCTTGTTTTGATGATGATTTACAAACAATTTACTACTAATGTTGTTTGTCTAGTGTTTGTGCATTCCTATGTATTGTAGACAAACAACGTGGTTGGAGGATGGATGGAATAGAGCTTCAACGATCATATCCAAAGGAGGTTGGCGGAATGTCGGTGAAGCTTATCAATTCAAAGTTAAAGATCAAGTTCAAGCTTCATCCGCAAGTGTACCAAGTCAAGCTTAATTGAAGATCAAGAATGCTTGGGTAATGTAGTTTTAGAGTTTATATTATGTGTGTTAAGTACGTTAAGCTCAATATAATATACACACACATTATGTTGGTTTTCATATATATATATATATATATATAGTTTGGAATTGATTTGTTATGTTTAAAGGAATTTACAAATTCACGTTTTCGTTCGTGCACATGTTCGTGCATGTTTTACAAAACTGATGGGTTTTCGCAAATGGGAAGTGATATTTAAAACATTCTTTCTCTGACATGTTTATCTACATGTTTAGAAACTTTTCTCCAGTTTTTACTATTTTTGGAGTTGATTTACTGTGCCAAATTGATTTTACAAAATCGTATATATTAACAGTTTTTCAGAAACTGTAAATTTGTGTTCAAATATTTATTTCTCTCAACTGGGAAAATATTTTTCAGAAATTCTTTCTCTGACATGTTATTCTACATGTCTTGAACATTCCACAAACTTTTATAATTTTTGGAGTTAATTTACTATTTTAAATTGATTGTACAAAACAGCTGCGCACTGCTATAGTAACTCCGGTCGACCGGACCGGTCGACCGGAAATGTCTCTGGAACTTTTTTAGGTTTGTACAGTGCGAGCGGTCGACCGAAAAAAAGGTCGGTCGACCGTCCAGCTCCTAGAATGGCCATAACGGTTATTTTTTTGTATCCGTTGGAGGGGTTTTTGGTCTTTTGGTTTGGGCTTTTGTTTGAGGTATTGGGAGGCTATAAATACCCCCTTATACCTCAGTTTTAATATATCTAAGAGAATGTTTTAAAATAGTTTAACAAGAAAAAAGTTTTTAAGAGGTTTATAAGTTTTTTTAAGGGTTTAGTGTTTGTTTAAAAAGCTTTTAAGCATTTACAAGAGTTTGATTTGTGGAGCAAATTTCACAAGAGCAAGTGGAGATCATCCTTGGTGTTTGAGCATTCATTCTTCTCCCACTCTCTTGTCATCTATAGAGAAGTTTTCTTAAACTCAATTCTAGCATTTTATAAGTTTGTTCTTAATTTAATAAGCTAGATTTCATATTGAGTTTATTTTATTTTATCTCTTTGTTCACACACAACCTATAGAGCGTATTGTATTTTCATTCATAGTATAATTTGGGGTTGTGGGTTTGTGACTAAGAATTGTGCTTAATTGAGTTCCCACCTTATTTAGAGAACAATCATTTGATTTATATTGTAGCTTATTGTGAGATACACTTTGTAATACACTTGTACACTGAGAGAAGTGTGTGGTGAGAGACGGGGTCGAATCCAAGAGGAGTGGCGTCGGTTGACGTGCCTTGGGAGAGGTTGTAACCGAGCACTTGAGGAGGAGGACACAGGCTAGGACCAACCCTTAGTGTGTGAGGTGTGATTTCATAATGAGTGTATTATGAGGTGTAAATGTTGTTCGGGTGAACGTAGAAAACCCGGTTGAGATAGTGGAGATCTCCTCGAGGTGAGGAGCGGAGACGTAGGTCGTGGGGACCGAACTCCGTAATCATATTGGTTGTTTGTGATTGCATTGGCGCACTTACTTTTATGTTCATATCTTATATCACCTTTGTATATTGCTTGTTGATTATATTGCCCACTATCTAGTTTAGATTATTTACCCTTGTGTTGTTTATATATCATTGCATATATCTCTATCATATCGTATACCTCTTTGCTAGGATATATCACCTTGTGTATATTGCATATTCTTGCACATAACTCTTTGTATATCTATCTTGCAAGAATATATTTATTAATTTTAATTGGCATTTAATCGGATTAGATTAGCATAAGACCCTAATCACCCCCCCCCCCTCTAGGGTCTAACAATCCGTAACAGGTGCAAAAAAAAGGAGGAGCTCAAGAGTTTCCTCAGCAAAAGTTCTAACTTGAACGGGACTTCAAGTTCCTAAAGAGGGGACCCATGATATGTGTGTATCTTCTCTTTGTAACTTAACGATCCTCATGGGAGCTTGAGGATAGATGATTCTCATAATAGCATGAGAATAGGGGTGTAAAACAGTACAATGGAACGCAGGTAGAAGCGTGGAATAAGACGACGAACAGCAGATTCGAAGAATCTAGATTTCAGCTCGTGAGTCGACTCATACATGTACATGAGTCGACTCATCAGGTTGAGTCGACTCATGACTGTTATGAGTCGACTCACGAAACCCAGCCCTGTTAGCAAAAGTCTCTGACTAGTCGATTCATCAGTTATGAGTCGACTCATATGAGGTCATGAGTCGACTCATAACTGTTCATGAGTCGACTCATCGGAGCTTTCCTGGTTAGTTTGGGTTTCTGTTCACGCGTTTTCCTGTTGGTTTTGGGCTTGGTTATTTACCAGATTGCCATCCATGTTTGTACACCTATATAAATGATTGTTTTAGGGTTTCTAAACGATCTAAAATCTTAGAGAGAGATTCTAATCTTTGTATTAGGGTTTAGAGAGGATTGAAAGGTTGTTCTCGATTCTAGTGAGATTGTGAGGGAGAGATTGTAATCTTTTGTTCTTTATAATCTAGAGAAGGTATTTTCCTTCGCCAAACTGAATTGTTCTTGTGTTTTGGTCGTCTTCTTCTTAACCCACCTTTCGGTAATTCCGCGACCAAAGGGTGCTCGCACGGAAAATCTTATCAATCAATGTTTGAAATATGTGGATGACCATGATCAAGTAAAAACGGTGGTCGCTGATAAACAACCCTTCAAGGGGGTTGAAAATTACTTTACCGACTCTTTGCTCTACCAGGACTCTGAACCGGGTGATGAGCCACTGGTCGAGGAACCTGATAGTGGCAATGAGGCCGATAGTGAGTCTGACTACAATGAGGGTCTTATCTTGAATGACATTGAACCCATTGTAATCGGCTACGGAGGCCTTGTTGTAACCAACGTTGACGAAGTGGACGGGTTTATCCTGAATGAAGACCCTGACTTTGCTTACTTGTCGTCTAGTTTAGAATCTAGTAATGATGAGTTTAGCAACCTAGTTGTAGAGTTATATAAGAACTCTTCTTTGCACTTGCCCGTGTACTCATCGTTCATCATAGACAAACAAACGATCGAGTCCTTACAAGCTGTCTTTGTCTTATCCACCCGAGGTAATCATCAGAAAGATATTATCTTTGGAAGGATAGACTGGCCTATGTGCACAATGTGGGATGAGTCAGACGATGATGAGCCCACTCCTCAATTCTCGCACTATGATCAAATCGCAAAGCGTATGATGGAGAGCATGGGTTATGACTTCACCCGCGAAGAAGGCTTGAATTACGACAAAGGGTGAAAGACACTCGTCTGATCTGCTTATGTTCCCAAAGGAAAGCCCAGCAATTACTTTGGCAAACTTCAAAGAGAGTTGGGTTACACCTCCTCTTCATTAGAGTTATATTGCAATTTCGGTGAATATTCCAAAGACGATCCTTCCGAATAATCATCATCAACATCCTCAGTGTGGGATTTGGATGTTAGTATGGGAGATCTGTTCAAGAACCTTATAATCAATATGGCTACAGTCGATCCTGTCGAAATCAAGGAGGATGATAGGATCCTACTTTTTGATGAAGCATGGGATCGCCATGTTAGCGCCCAATGGAGTGGTCGGTGTGAACAATGTGAACCACCCATGGAGGACAAGACACTCCAAATAAATATAGGAGATGAGGCTAATCCTAAGCCCATATTTATCAGCGACGACTTACCTCCCCAGGAGAAAGAAGACCTTATATCCCTCTTTCAGGAATATATTAACGTCTTCGCCTGGAATTACGAGGGCATGTTTGGCCTTGATCCCCAAATTACCATGCATCGCCTCAACATCAACTCAGACGCCAAACCTGTCAAACAGCAGCAAAGACGGTTTCGTCCACAAATCATGGAGGCGATCAAAGCCAAAGTGAAGAAGCTGATCGAATCAGGTTTCATTATGGAGGAACAACACCCCGATTGGGTGGCTAATATTGTTCTAGTCCTAAAGAAGAATGGAAAGATCCGTATTTGAATCAACTTCAGAGATCATAATGCTACATGCCCAAAGGACGAATTCCCTTTACTATTCACAGACATCATCATCGACAATACTTGTGGGTTTGAAAGGATGTCCTTCATGGACGGTTTTTAGGGTATAATCAAATCAATATGCACCCTGAAGAAAAAAATCACACTTCATTCAAAACTTTGGTAGGGGTATACTGTTACACAGTTATGCCCTTCGTACTTAAGAACGCCGACGCAACCTATCAGCACGCCATGAGCATAATTTTCCGGGACCATTTACGAAAGACAGTCGAATGCCACGTAGATGACTTGGTCATGAAGAGTCGCAGCAAAGACGATCATCTTCAAGACATAAGAATGATGTTCGAGCTGATGTGATCCCATCAACTCAAGATGAACCCCACGAAGTCATTTTTAGGGATGTCGAGCGGCAAATTCCTCAGATTCGTCGTTATGACGAAGGGAATTCACATAGACCCTGACAAGGTGCAAGCTATTCAAGAGTTTCAACCACCTAGGAATCTCAAGGAATTGAGAGGACTGCAAGGACGTCTGGCCTACATCCGAAGATTCATCTTAAATCTTTCGAGTAAGTGCCAACCCTTCTCTAAGCTGATGAAGAAAGGTGTTTCCTTTGTGTGGGATGAACCTTGCCAACAAGCATTCGATGAGATCAAGACTTATCTCTCGAATCCACCATTCTTGGTGGCCCCGGTTTTGGGAAAACCATTCTTGATTTATGTGCGGGCAATAGAGCATTCTCTTGGCACCCCCTTAGCACAGAATGACAATGTTGTCCACGAACAAGGTATCTATTACCTGAGTAGAACCTTGTAGGGAGCCGAACGGTGATACCCCATGGTCGAAAAGGAGTGTTTGGTCTTGGTGTTCGCTATTCAGAAAATGCGACACTACCTGGTTGATCAAACCATACACGTCATCTCCCGGATAAATCTTATCCGAGTCTTCATGATGCAGCCCGAATCCTTAAATTGGCGCCTGGCAAGATGGGCACTCCTGCTGTCTCAATATGACATACACTTCATGCGGCAGAGGTCCGTCAAAGGATAAGCAATCTGTGATCTCATGGCCAGTCATCCGCTCGAGTCGAAGACTGACCTATTCGAAGCTATGCCAGATGAAACTTACGAGATTAATGCGACCTCGCATGAAGAAGTTTGGCGATTGTACTTCGACGGAGTTTCTCGCGTAGGCACACGCGGGTCTATCGTTGTAGGAGTGGGGGTGGTCTTAGTTTCTCCACAAAACCACGTGTTACCCCGAGCTTTCTCTCTAACTGGGCCGTGTACCAATAACGTGGCTGAGTACAATGCACTACTCATCGGACTCAACTTCACCAAGGAGTTGAGGGCAAATCATCTTGAAGCTTACAGTGACTCTCAGCTCGTCGTCAGACAAATGATAGGGGAATACGAAGTCAGAAACGATGACTTAATCCTATGTCATGAAGCGGCTATCAAGCTAGCCGAATCATTTGAATGCTTCTGCGTTGAGCACGTGCTTCATTCCAAGAACACTCACGCGGATGCCCTGGCATCACTGGTAGCTAGCCTAGCTCAACCACTGGGAACAAGTCAACGTGTCACCATCGCAAGCTGTTAGCTCTTCTGACCGGAGCATGTTCTAGAAGTGAATGCAACTCACCAGGCTACGGGTCAACTTGAACCGAGAGATTGGTGTTTCCCAATCATCGATTTTGTCTTATACGGCATACTACCCGAAGACGTAAAGGAGCGGGATTCTGTTCGCAGACGAGCTCCGAGATTCTACTACGGTTCAACAACAAAGGCATTGTATCGTAAGTCCTACAACGATATGTTTCTTTCGTGTCTCTCAACGACAAAAGCACAGGAAGTCCTGCAGGAAGCCCATGATGGTACTTGTAGTGCTCACCAACCCGGATCCAAGATCTGGGATCGCTTACGAAGAATGGGCTATTATTGACCCAAAATGATCCACGATACTGTCGCTTATGCCAAGCGTTGCCATGCGTGTCAAATCCACGCCAACTACATTCACAACCCACCCGAAGACCTTCATCTGATAGCGACTTCGTGATCGTTTGAGATATGTGGGATGGATGTCGTTGGACCGATATCTCCACCATCAGCCAAAGATTATCGCTTCATCCTTGCGATAACCGACTACTTCTCTAAGTGGGCTAAAGTCATTCCCTTAAGTGAAGTCAAATCCGATGATGTGATCAAGTTCATCAAACATCACATTGTCTACTAATACAACGTCCCAAGATGTATCATTTATGATAACGGATCATAATTTGTTAGTCATGTATTCACTCGGTTCTGTGACAAGTTCAGAATACAGAACCTGGCGTCCACAACTTATAATCTATCAGCAAATGGACTAGCTGAGGCTTTCAACAAGACGATCATCAAGATCTTGACCAAGCTGACATCCAATAGTAAGCACGACTAGAATAAAAAGCTAGGTGAAAGCTTGTAAGCGTACCGTATTACGGTTCGTATACCGACTGGTACCACACCTTATTCACTGGTATACAGTTGTGAAACCGTACTACCACTAGAGATTCAGATTTCATCCTTACGCGTTGCACTCACAATGGGAACGATGACTAAAAATAGTCATCGATGGTGTCTTACAGAATTGGAGTTGTTAGATGAGAAGCGGCTTGAAGCTCAACAACACATTGAGTTCTATCAAGCTCGAATATCCAAAGCTTTCGACAAGAAAGTCAAGCACATATCTTTTACAGAAGGAGAGTTTGTCCTTGCTATTTGACGACCTATGATACTCAACTCCAAAAAGAAGGGAAAATTCCAGCCTAAATGGGAAGGACCATTTGTGATAGAGACAATCTATTCGAATGGAGCTTATCGGCTCGTCAAACTGAATGGAGACAAAATCCTAATGCATATCAATGGAAAATTCCTAAACAAGTACTACCCATAGTCTTCCTTTTCTTCTTCATACACTCCGATAAGTATACAAGTATAAACTGCTTATTCATTCCCTCCAACTGGTACATGAGGCTAAACTGCTCCTTCCCTCCAACTGGTACACGAGGCTAAGCTGTTCCTATACTCCGACAGGTATATGAGTATAAACTGCTTCTTCATTTCCTCCAACTGGTGCATGAGGCTAAACTGCTCCTTTCCTCTAACTGGTACACGAGGCTAAATTGTTCCTTACCTCCAACTGGTATATGAGATTAAACTATTCCCGTATAAACTGCTTCTTCATATACTCCGACAAGTATACGAGTATAAACTACTTCTTCATTTCCTCTAATAGGTACACGAGGCTAAACTGCTCCTTTCCTCCAACTGGTGCATAAGGCTAAACTGCTCCTTACCTTCGACTAGTATACGAGGTTAAACTACTCCCTACACTTTCACTTCGGTCAAACCTTCCTACAGTTTAGACCAAAACCAGAATCCATTCTCGATTCATTCCACGAATGAGAGGTCCACCACATTGAATGATCAAACTTTTAAACAGTTAGTGTCGTCTTAAACTCCCACTTGGTCAAACCTACAGATAGTTAGGGCCAAAACCAGACTCCCTCGCCAATCCTCATCAACAAGATGGTGAGTCCCAAAAACTATCAAGTTAACAGTTACCTCTGATAGTCATATTCCCTCCAAATTTCCCCTGTCGATTCTCTCCAATAGGACGACGGGTCCACTCCCACTGTACTGTTAACATTACACCTCTGACAAATCAACTTACCAATCCTCCTCAATATTGGTAAGTCCTCAAAGTCGCTCCGATCGTGACAATCCAATCAACTTACCAATCCTCCTCAATATTTATAAGTCCTCAAAGTCACTCTGACCACGACAATCCAATCCACTTACCAATCCTCCTCAATAGGATGGTAAGTCCTCAAAATCGCTCCGATCGCGACAATCCCATCACATTAACACTAAACCTCTAACAAAGACCTCCCACCAATCCTCTCCAATAGGATAGTGGGTCCACAAAACTATCATGTTAACGATTACCTCTAATAGTCAACTTCGTCATTCTCACAAATGACATCGTCCGATTAGTCGTCACACTCTTACGTTCCTGAACGGTTTGATCTATTCTGTGCATTCTAATATTCTTAGAACAATCGATGGGTAGTAGCCTACCATGCAATGTGCTACCATATAAATCAATCGTCATACTCATACGTCCCTAAACGATTTGATTCCCCCGAACATCACCATTCCCACAAATGATGTTGTTCGTCGATAGCGGCCTACCAAGCTATGCGCCCTATTGATTCTCGGGTAATGACCTACCAAGCGATGAGTCGTTATTCGGACCCTCGAGCGACCACTTATGCAAGTGGTCACTCATTTTTTGGGGCTAAGTTGTTATATCTAACGACATGGCCTAACCTAATTACAACTTAATTGTTGTAATTAACCCAACCCAATGCCTAGAGCGGCTAAGGGTAGAGAAGAAATTTTAGCGTTAAGTCTAAAAGAAACTTCTCGACAACTCATCATACTGAGGGGAATAGTATGTTAGCCTAATTCAAAGGGTAATCGGTAAAGGCAAAGCAAACTCGTTGATAGCTAAGGGTTTTCTAAAAATTCTAAGTGTTAGTCAAGTGAAAAGATAGGCGAGCAAGAAGATATGCACACAAAGCGTTGAAAGCGACAATTGGACAATGAAAGCATAAACTTCATTCATAAAGAAATTTTGAGACAAAACAAAGTTAACAAGAAAGTCTCAAAACAACATCTCAGATTCGGTCGCCAGAGTCTAGCAATCTGAAGGAGGCAAGTTCAGCCTTTACAACGACTAACTCCTTTGCACGGTCAGCTCGGAGCTGCTCCTCAGCTTCCTTCTGGAGTTTGGCCTCAGAAGGAGCATCAGTAGCACTAGTAGCCTCGTCTTCTCGACGTATCGCATGGAGATCTTCCATCTCTCTTTTAGCAGCGCTGTGGACTTTGGTACTCTCAAGCTGAAAGGCCCGCAGGGTCGACTCTTTCTGGGAAAACTTGACCCATGTATGAGTGATGATGGAAGCATATGCGTCCATCTTAGTCTGCAAGTGACGGTGCCACTCCACCAAGTTCGCAATGATAACCTCCTGCTCCGATATCCTCTTCTCTCGAGCATTAAGCTCACGATAAGCTTTGATTCGAGCTTCAATTATGAGTGGCACTACCTTATCATGCGGGTTGGAGAATACCAGCCCTTCCAAGCGGTGCATAACTTCCTGAGCTTTTCTTACAACGCTTAGCCAGCCCGATACCACCCATACGCTGGATGTCCTTCAAGCTATCTGCTATGAAAGGGTAAAAGTTAAAAAAGATGCCCCACCCAATGCTAACGATAGAGATTGTTTATTTCATAGCATTCTCTAACCATTGGATAAGGCCCTGCACAAATCCGGGGTCCGGAGAAGCAGATTCTTGACTAGGGGCCATCATAGCAATGGGGTGGATCTGAGGGAGTGGCCCTTCGTCATCAACGGGCGGCCTCCATCCATAGCCCTTATGTTGGTCGGGTCAGGGAAATCAAGTTTAGTTCGGGGCCATGAAGGGGTTGGCAGAGTAGGTGTTGGAATGGACTCTTCCTTCTCCTCATCATCAGAGATCGTGATGAGTTCAAGTTTGGTAGGCTCAAGTCTCGCTAGTCTCCTCTTGCGAGCATTCGCCTCATATCGGTCAGCTTTCTCAGCAGTGAGAGGTCTCTTTCTAGATAACCTCAGTATACGAGGCCTAACAATTAGGACCTCCTCTTGAGCTGCAAGATACAATGGAAAGAAGTTAGAAATTTTGACTCAAAAGGCTAAAAAAATTCTAAGTCTTGAAGACAGGCGACCTGCGAAG